TGGTACATTGTGCTTTATAGTATACAGCACAATGTACCATCAGCTATAGAGGAATACAAATCCCAGCAATACATTATAGAGCACCATGTGTGGGAAAGTGCAAGCTTACCTGAGCAGTCTTCCAGCAACTTGTTTCTGAGATCGGGCCTGTCTATCGGCGGCTGTCATCCGCCCACACCTGTGAGTGGGCAGATGACACCGGTGAGCGTGAGGCGGGGAGGAGGTGCGGTGTGTGGATGCGGGCGGGTCTGGCAGTGGCGAGCGTGAGGTGGGGAGGCGCGCATTGTGTGTGGAGCGGTGAACAGGGCCAACCAATTGGAAGTCGATTAATCGATGATTGAAAAAGTTGACAACTTTTTCAATAGATTATAATCGATTATGTCGATTTAGTTGTTGCAGCCCTAAATGTAATTCCAAATTATGCTCACCAGACCATACGGTAATTATGGTCACTAGATTGAGCTAATACTTTTTTCCTATGCTCCTTAGCTCCCTCTAGTGGCCATTCTGTTTTAAATTTAATTTGACCTGAAAAGAAAGTATACAAATGGTTTGTTTTTGCCTCTACTCAAACAGAGCAAACATTCCCAGATATTTGCAGAATGAATGCTTCTGCAAATTGTTTATCAATAGACTCCATACTGTGTATATGGGACCAGTTTTACTTTCCAAAAGATTGATTTAAAACCTATGAACTTCTCATGCATCTACTTCTGCTTTGCTATATTGCAGATTGCATTTCTATAGACCAGCGATGGCGAACCTGTGGCACGCTTGCCATAGAGGGCACGCAGAGGCCCTGCTGGTGGCACGCGAGCCTAGGTGACTGTTGCCGTGGCCTGCACACGCCAGATTCTCACCTTGGGTGCTCCACAGGTCTCAGTCATGTTAAGTTTAGCCAGCTGGAAGCACTTTTGTGGCTCCGTACGACGTACGTCCTTGGCAGCGAAAGGGTTAAACCTGCCAAGATCCTTTTCAATGTGTTGCTGAACTGGCAATATATTAAAAAGCATCCCATGGTGGCCCAGTGGAGGGATATCTATGATCTGAATCTCTTGCTGATGCAGACCATACTGATTGCTCTCTCTTAAGCTGCCCATGCACCTTACAATTATCTGCAGCTTTTCTGTGGTCAGATGGAAAAGGTGCAACAGATTCCTCCATCTACACTTAACTGTGTGGATGGAGGAATCTCGACCTGGGCCAATCTGTTGCACTGTTTCCATAAAATCTGCAGATAATTGTAAGGGGTATGGGCACCTTTTAGTGCCGTTGCTCACAGGTGGGGCCGATTTTGGCTGATTCAGACAATACTAGAGATGCAGATCACACTGATCCTCCACTGGACCACCAGGTGTTTTTTTGACATCTTTCCAATACATTAACCAGACATAAAAAGCAAAGAAGCATCTATAACGAGAACAATTGTGAATGCTCCAGCTCCTTTACGTACGTAATTATTCAGCAGTCGTTCAACATCAAATTCCAAGTCCAATGCTCCTAATAAGTTATTAATTCGGACATTCAGGAACCATCCCGTAAAATGAAGAAACAGTTTAACCAGCTGCAATAACACAGATTTGTGTAAAAGTTTATTATTCAAGAAATACTGTGCTAGGACTGGATATCTAAATAAGGAAGGGCCAGCAGCAACTATATTCGTGTGTATCTCTCTTATGGCAAGCACGTTGCGCTTGGTCAGTGTGAATGTGAATTGTAACGTGAAAGAAAACTTACAATCTAACTTGAAGAGACCATGATTGTCTCTAATGATGAAATACTGTATCCCAGATGTATAATCAAAATGTGTGTTCTCTCAAGGAACAACCTATATATATGTGAACACCAAAAATCAATATCAAAAATCAATATAATATATGTGATGCATGCACAATGACAGTGCTCAATGAATAAATATATAACAAAAGTGCCGGACTCGAAGCATAATCCGGAAGCTCTGTTATCAACAATCACAAACCTTCAACCCTTATATGTAACCAATGGGTCTACATATTGGCATGTGTAAACCTGATCCAATATAGAGGGTTTAGTGATAGCAATAATCTCAACAGTGCTAAGAGTGATCTAAACAGTGATGAATAGCCTACTAATATGCTCAAACATTGGCTGTGGGGCAGTGCAAAAAAAAAAACGATATAATTAATTGCTTCCCCTCTTCAATGGATAGTAAAGTTGGATATTGAAACAGTCACATCAAATTATCCAGCATTCGATGGGTTAAATATTTAAATTAGCTCTACGCTATACCAGGCAGTCAGTTTTAGAAGATTTTGAGGTTTATATATCAGAATAAGGAACGGCTACTTCCCTGTCCAATAGTGATTTCAAATGAACAGTCCCTTCATTCCGCAGATCGATATCTTCTAAGGTGTCTCCAACCGACCTTTTGATTAGGAACAATTATCCGAAAATCCTGGGGTTCTAGTATTCAAGTTGTGTAAGTCTAACACATGAAAGGTTTCCATCTGCCTTTTTTGTATCTCTCGGCATCCAAATGTTCCCTATGAAACATCCTTAACCGCTCACGTTTAACATCTTGTATTGTGGGAGGAATAGGGGCATTCCAAGATCTCATTATACTGCCCTGAGCAGAAAGTAAGCAGATATGGAGCCAATCTAGGTTTTTCGTGTCTCTTGTGAAGTGATGTAACATTTTCTGGATCATAATAGCTAAACAAGTATAAAAACGGTTCCGCTGGGGGAGACCAGGAGAGAATACTAACAATATAAACAGAAACTCTGCAGTATGATTGAATTATGGGGCGGGACTAGAGACAGTGAGGGTGTGTGTATTTTAATGCGTGTATTTTAGTGCATGTGTGTGTATTTATTATGTGTGAGTTTTTTTTGCTTGTGTGTTGAGTGTATAAATGTGTGGCTATGTGTGTTTCCCTAAGGGCCCATTCACGCCATGTCCGGATCATCTCCAGACCAGACCACACTGTTTCTGGACCCAAAATGCATCCCAATGTATCCCTATGCTATTTCTGGCCTCTGTTCCCACCAGCGCAGTCCGTTCCGGACCAGACCAGAAAAATATTGCAGGTCTCATTTTGTCTGGTGTGGAATGCACAGAAATGCATCAAAAACGTATGGTACGCACCTATAAGACCAGTTTAAGCTAAAAAAACAAAAACAAAATCTTATTGCAACAAACGCAATGCACTATGTTTCAGGCAGCACACTGTTCGACGCTCACGGTTCCGATGACAGATTACCCTGTCAGTCCTCCTGATGATGGAGTCTCCCACCACCAGGATCTGCCTCTCCTGACCCTCCATCCTGCTCCCGTCCTCGCCAGATCTGGTCCAGAAAGTGGTGTGAACCCAGTCTAAGGCTGTGATGCTGAACATTTTTGTAAACCCCCAGCGCCCAAACTGCAACACAATACTAAACGTGTTTTCATTGTTAGCACTTTGAGATAATTAAATTTGATTTTGCGTCGCTGTTTGGGCACTCGGGTTCAAAAACGCTCGCCATCACTGCTATAGACAGTCCTGTCTGACTCACATTTTACACTACTAGTGATCATTACTGTAATGGTGTCATGGAGTGCCCTCCTTGTTTGCACTGCGTCATTACAGGTGTCTTCTGTGCTTTAAAGTCTGCAACAGACTGCTGAAGCTGGAACACTTACTGCCACAAAGTCTGCAAAGAACATACAAAGCCAATAGGTGGTTTAACTGCTGAAATATTAGTTTTGGCGGGGTAACCCTTTTCGCAGTGTTGCACAAAAATGGCACCCCCCTCTGGTTTTCCTCTCGAGATGTAGGCTTTAAGCATTTTTATAGTGAATAGATCACTGGAATACATTACCTTTTTTTTTTTTTTTTTTTTTTTTTT